GCATTATGATAGGTTGATGCCAAATGCTCCTTCCCTCTACACTCATCAGTGCCAACACCATAGATTGAAACCTCATTAGAAGGTAAACATAGGGCTGCAGAGGAAGCCGCACACAGGAGACAGACAAATACACCATCTTGCCTGCACAATAGCCCTTGTTAGACAACTGATTCTAAGTAGGGGATTCCTTTAATTCTCCCCAAGTTATGTGTCTACTTGCTTTCTGCAACTTTACAAGAAACTATGCCTGGTCATCTCTCAGGATTGTACAATGGTTCTATGTACATGGTGACCAATACAAATAATAATGGTGACCAGAGTAAATGCAGTTACCATAAAGCTACAGCCTGACTCTTAGTAATCAGGTCTCAATGCTGAATGGTTAAGGTACTCTGTTTTTACGACCTTAATGGTGGATGAGTGCCATGCGTGGCACAGTTTATAAACCATTTCTCTCTATGTAATGAGAATGTTTATGTGTGGGAAGAGATGACAACACATGGTATAACTCATAAGTTTGTGATGACATGAGCCAAAGGCCATCAAAAACTGTTGGTTCTGAAAATATAACTCATACTTCTGCTTGTGTTATAAATGGTTTTAATAATTTCTCACTGACCCCACCGATTATAGAAAATAATACCCTAGGTTACTGATCAAACACATGACAAACATCACATGACAGATGGGCTGGACAGCAATTTGTCACATGTATTCACTGTCGAGCATAGGCAATCACTGTAAGTACTCCAGAGCCACTAAGGGTAGCTGAGAGAACAAACTGTTAGCAAGGGGGTAAGACTATATAGTATCATTAAAGGAAGTTTCTAAAAATTGGTTTGGGATAATTAATTGTGCTTACTGGAAGAAAGATGAACCATTTTATACTACAGATTGATAAGTTTTAAAAACTACACTATGAAACTATTTAATATTTAAGTTTTTAACTATTTAATATAAAATACTATAACATCAATTGCATACAGTTTAAGTACATTTACGTACTCTTGCGAGTACAAATTACTTTAGACTTTTCACAAGATATTGTTCAGATCATTAATGTTTGGATCCTCTGATTTCCTAAACTGAAAAACCAAGAGAATCATTATGAATTATTAAAAATTATAAAAAATATGGGATGTGATGCACTAGACAATGACATCAAGCTGGATATATTTCCTAAAGTATTTGATTTTGTAAATAAATGTTATTCTAGACTGGGGATACAGATCAATTTGTCGAATGTTTGCCTCACATGCCCAAGGCCTTGGGTTCACTCCCTAGTGCTCACACACGCATGCGTAAATGCATGCACTAACACACACACACACACACACACACACACACACACAAATGCTAATCTTACCTAGGTTTCTGAAGACTTCCTGCATCATATCTCTGCATGGATTTTACTAGGCAGGATCCAGCAAAGTCTAATTCTCCAAAATGAAGTTAATAGACATTTCATTTTTGGTCTCTGAATTTTAAAACATTACACAAATGTGTAGTAGAGGCTGTGTGAGTTTGATATAAGTAGAATATATACTCAAAATGTCCACGATATTTTATATATATATATATA